AAATCAAATCATTAAAATCTTGAAAAACTGACAAATATACTGGTCTTTTTTTAGGAATATTTAGTCTCTACCAGCAATATCGTCTTCTGCAACCAGTATATAGTATTCTGAAAGCAGTATCTAATCTTCTACAAGTAGTACAGTCTTCTGGAAGTAGTATATAGTCTTCTGGAAGTAGTATATAGTCTTCTGGAAGTAGTATATAGTCTTCTGGAAGTAGTATCTAGTCTTCTACAAGCAGTATCTAATCTTCTTCAAGCAGTATAGTCTTCTGGAAGCAGTATCTAGTCTTCTACAAGCAGTATAGTCTTCTGGAAGCAGTATCTAGTCTTCTACAAGCAGTATCTAATCTCCTGCAAGCAGTATAGTCTTCTGGAAGCAGTATCTAGTCTTCTATAAGCAGTATCTAATCTTCTGGAAGCAGTATCTAGTCTTCTATAAGCAGTATCTAATCTTCTGCAAGCAGTATAGTCTTCTGGAAGCAGTATCTAGTCTTCTACAAGCAGTATCTAATCTCCTGGAAGTAGTATCTAGTCTTCTACAAGCAGTATCTAATCTTCTTCAAGCAGTATAGTCTTCTGGAAGCAGTATCTAGTCCTCTACAAGCAGTATCTAATCTCCTGCAAGCAGTATAGTCTTCTGGAAGCAGTATCTAGTCTTCTATAAGCAGTATCTAGTCTTCTGGAAGCAGTATCTAATCTTCTGCAAGCAGTATAGTCTTCTGGAAGCAGTATCTAGTCTTCTACAAGCAGTATCTAATCTCCTGCAAGCAGTATAGTCTTCTGGAAGCAGTATCTAGTCTTCTACAAGCAGTATCTAATCTCCTGCAAGCAGTATAGTGTTCTGGAAGCAGTATCTAGTCTTCTATAAGCAGTATCTAATCTTCTGGAAGCAGTATCTAATCTTCTGCAAGCAGTATAGTCTTCTGGAAGCAGTATCTAGTCTTCTGCAAGCAGTATCTAGTCTTCTGGAACCAGTATATAGTCTTCTACAAGCAATATCTAGTCTTTTGCAAGAAGTAGTATGCGATCTCGGCGGGTTGAGGATAAATGACCTCATATAATAGTATGAGTTATGAAATAGTTATGAAATTATTTTGAAGTAATAATTTGAAATGAAGTATAATATCAGTTGATTAATTGAAATGAAATTAAAGAGGACTTAAAACTGAAGGTTGTCAAAATGATTCTTTTTCAGTATTTTTCCCGTTTAATCACCGAATTGGTGTCCCCGTTTTGTTTCCTTTTAACAGACGCGAAGGGCATGGTAACAGAGTCGACGTGACTGACATACGTTGTTAGAGTTTTTGATTGCTGATTACGGCCGTTTCATGTCGTGCGTTTTTCCCGATCCGAAAAACGTAAAAACGTTGTTAGGGGCGCCGGTCGAAACCCAATCAGGGGCCGGGCAAACAGCCCGGTTGCGCCCCGCATACCGATGACTCTTAATTGTCTGCCAATAAGGGCGGCCGCCCCCGAAATCAGTGCCGTATCGGAGAGACCCCGAAACCATCCGGAACGAACGAACGAACGGACGGACGGGAACCATCCGGTCCTGCAGCCGACCTCTGACCCGAGCCACGACGCGAAGACGATCCTTGGCAAACACCAATCAAGCTACTTTGCCGCTTCGGGGGGTACTATGCTAATTTATCGATTACGTTTCCCCTCACTCGAACATTTCTCTATTGTCTCACAAACCTCTAAATCAACCAAAAGATTAAAGTTTCAATTTCAAAAAAAAAAAATTAAATAAAATAAAAAATTACAAAAAAAGAAAAAAAAATTTGGAAAATTAATAATTAATCTGCTTATAAAAGACTAGTTAGATACAAGCAGAGGACCAGTTGTTGCTATTGGAACACTAGATACTGCTAATGGAAGTCTGCATAATGCTTGCAGCTGGTTTGATTTCGTTGGCAGAACGATGAATATTGTTGACTAAAAACTACAATACATGTGAAAACTAGAAACTGCTGAGATAGTGCTAATGGAAGACTAAATACTGCTAATAGGAATCTATAGACTGCTTTCAGATGGCTAAATTCCTTTGGCAGAAGACTGGATACTGCTAATTAAAGACTAGAGTACAGCTAAAGATTAGACACTACTTGCTAAACACTAGTTAAATACATGCAGAAGACTAGATGCTGCTATTAGAACACTAGATACTTACTGCTAATAGAAATCTGTTGCATATGATTACCTCCTGTTGGGTTGGTTTCGATTAGGTTGGGTTGTACAATACAATGAATCAAAGAAAAAACTGAGAAAAACCATTAAGAAGGCTAAAAGAGACGCATGGAGGGTGCTATGCAACGAGTTAGAGAACAACGTGTGGGGAGACGCATAAATCAGACCGATAAAGAAAACCAAGAATATCTGCAGAACGACTATAAGCATCTATCCTCATACGTAAACTATTCCCAGAAGGAAAAGAAGAGATGTAATGTAGAGAATTTGATGGAGAGTTCGCCGAGAATATCGTAGATGTGTCAAGGGAGGAAGTGCTCGCAGCAGTTAGCAACTTGAAAAACAAAAAAGCTCCAAAAAAAACTCCTAATCCGCCATCGGTAGATTTAAACAATTTTGACAAAATATTTGAAACCTTGCTTAAAAACAGAATTAATACTGAACTAGACGAGAATGGAGGCCTATCAAAGGAACAATTTGGTTTCACAAAAGGGAGATCAATGGTGCATGCGATTGAAGAGGTCACAGCAGAGGCTAGAAAGTGCGATAAATTTAGAAGAGGAAAGGGAAAGATGTGTCTGATGATTACTGTTGACGTGAAAAATGCGTTTGGAACTGCGCCGTGGCGAAAAAAATTAAACGCGTTGATAAAAAAGAAATTATCTACATACTTAATAAACATGATAAGATCTTATTTGAGTGAGAGATATATTGAATATAAAGGGACTTGGTACAAGATGACCAGAGGTATTCCGCAGGGATCTGTCCTCGGGCCGTTCCTGTGGAATGTCTTTTCCGACGAACTACTGGACACTGACATCTAGTGCAGCAATACACGACTAATCGCATATGCGGATGACCTCGCGATCATAATACTAGGCTGATATCACGAGGGAGTAAAACAGAATGCTCAGAGAGTGCTAAATAGCATCGTAGAGAAGGTGGCTGCGGGGAAGACGTAGGCGATAATGCTAAGAAGTAGAAGAAGCGCTGAAAATATTAAACTGATGGTGAAGGATGTAGAGATAACTACGGAAAACTCGTTCAAGTACCTTGGAGTCACTTTGAGAAAAGATCTGAAATGGAACAAACACGTTGATGCGATAGTGAAACTTAAAGGAAAAGTCTGGAATACTCTGGTCAGAAGAAAAAGTCTGAAATTGCAATAGTTATAAACTAGACTTCAGCAAAAAACACGAATTACATTGTTCAAAGTCCACATGAAGTCTGAAATTACTGTTCAGAGAAAACAAAAAATTGATTATAAACCAAACATGATTTTTCATGGCAATACTTATGTGTTCAATAAAAGAATGCGAAGAATATGAACAAGAAACCAATGGACTTGTCTTGTTATTGCACAGGACAGGAAATCACCAATACGGAAACTTTGCCAATGCAGGATAAGCACAAAAGCAAAGTAACAGCTGCAGAAATGAGGTACCGGGTGGTACAAGATCCGTATAGATAATAAGAGGCTCCCAAAAAGATGATGATAGACACCCAGAAAGAAGTAGCTGTCAGTATCCAGAACAAAACATACATAACGTTGGCAGAAGACTAGATACTGCTACTAAAAAACTAAATACTGCTTTTTGAAGACTAGATACTGCTCTGGAAGACTAAATACTGCTTTCTGAAGACTAGATACTGCTAACAGGTCTAAATACTGCAAAAAAAAGATAAAATATTTTGGAGAAAACATACATAACTTTGGCAGAAGACTAGATACTGCTTCTAGAAGAAATACTGCTTTCTGAAGACTAGATACTACCGACAGGTCTAAATACAGCGTCTGGAACACAAAATACTGCTTTGTAAAGACTAAAATTGCTTTGTAGAGACTAAATACTGCTTTCTGAAGACTAAATACTGCTAACAGGTCTAAATACTGCAAAAGAAAGATAAAATATTTTGGAGAAAACATACATAACTTTGGCAGAAGACTAGATACTGCTTCTAGAACACTAAATACTGCTTTCTGAAGACTAGATATTGCCGACAGCTCTACAAGTCTTACAAAACTTGTTTTTTAATATGCTATTACAGCCTATTATCAGTTTTATGTCTTCTTCTTCCATAATCGTTTCCATCAAGTCATGCGCCAACCTCACTCTATTAAAGTTGAGTTGAAAAAAAATGAAATAAAATTGTCGAAAATTAAAGTGTGTTTTGAGACGATTTGTTTTTGGCGAGACACCGAAATTCCGGGTTAAGAAGTCTCCCTCGACTTTAAATCAATTCCTCCGACGATGTAAATTATGCGTTTCATTAGGTTAATCGCGCCAAGTGGCATATAGGTCCGTAAATTTTAGCCGTTTTAGTTTTTGCGTCTTGAAACGCGCGCTCCCAATCAACTAATTGGTCGTTAAACTCTGCAACCCGGATTGCAGTACCTAAAGAAATTTACGGCGTCCATCAATTTCGCGTTTTATATTTCTCTTTTTTGGACATTGTTGAAATAATATTCATCGGATGAGTCGGTGGTAAGAGTAAGAAAACACGAAAAATCGCACAGATGGTGTCCCGTGTTATTCTGTTTGCACTGCCGTCTCTGCCGCGGCAGGAAAGTAGGCTCCTCGAGTATTTATCCTGCGGATTAAGCCGGGAAAAGCCGGCCAAAAACCGTGCTGTTTGATCACCGCCCTGTGGGGACACGCCGTTTAGTATGCATTGTGTATTTAACAAAGTGACAAGGGAAACACGTCTATTAAAGGATACGTGCCTCAGGCTACCACCCTATTTAAAACATACCCTTGACCAAGAATACCTTTTTATTTGTATACTATATTAATAAATCATTTTTAGGTTTGGTTTCAAAATAGAAGAGCGAAATTTCGAAAACAAGAACGTCTCGCCCAACAAAAAGCAACGAATTCATCGAATGACACATCTCAAACGAATATTAAAGCTGAAAATAACTCCTCGACTAAATCAAATATGATATCGAAAGATTTAAAACCGGGTTCTCCACATTCCGGGATTTCGACAACACCAAATTCGAATACCAGCGTGTCTTCGCATCAATCCTCCACTAACGGAGATGTAAAGCCAATGAATGGAAACGGTAAGTAAAGAAAATTTAGATTATAAGGTTTTCGGTTGCTTTTGCGTCGTCGTCGCAGCTTCCGAGAAAGTAATATGACATCAGATTGTTCGCTTCTGCAGTCTCCGGGCTCCGGCTAAAGAGTTGACAGTAATGGAAATAAACGAGCGGTAGCGGGCAATTTTCTAGATTAAATGTCAGAGTGGCGCTTGCGTTTGTGTCGTGCGGGGCCGGTCCGGGGGGTGTTCACCCCACCGCCACGACGTCCCCTTGATATCCCTCTTCACCCCTCGTTTCCACTACACCCCGTTTCGTTCCTATCGGAAATGAATAACACACATGAAGTGCTCCGATGGCAGCCAGCTGCTCTTTTAGATTTATAACCTAGAATCTATAAAAATAATAACGCTCAGTTTCGATTTCGACCTTATGATTTGTTATCCCCTCATCAAAACTGTTGCTTCAACTCAACAAATAAATTTGTTTTCTTTTTTATTTCCAGTAAAATTAACCGATGAATTAGCAAACAACAATAAATGGTCATCGATGAGCCCTCAATCTTGTAATACAGCTCTTCTCGTCCAACAAGCCAATAAAGTCCTTTCTTCGCAACCGTCGCACCTTCAATCTCATCACGGAAGTCATCACGCAGCAGCAGCGGCCGCCGCGGCTCTTTCAGCCCCATTTACGTCTTTGTTAGGCGCAGGGGGTGGTGCAGCATCGTACTTGTTAGGAGATCATCTAAAACCGACGGCAACAAACCATTTGTTCTAAATAAAAGACCGTGTGTACACGTAGATAAAAGGGTTTTGCCGATTTTATATGCTAAGATTTTTTTAGATGAAGAAAATTTATGATGATATTCGGAAACGATTTTGAAATGAAGAAATTAATAAGCAAAATTTAAAACCGAAATTATTTTTTACTAAAGTGTACATACGGGGATACCAGTAAATTTTTAGCGTTTAGGTGCGAATGTATGAAGATTTTTTTGTAAATATGTTGTTGTTAATTGTAAAATCGATTCTTTTCGTTGTCGCTGTGTTTTGTGTCGAGTGATTTATTTTTATGTAGATTTTATCGTTGACTTATGAAAAAGTTACAGAGGTGTATGCGAGAATAACTAGTCCATGTAATATTAATTGAAATAATAAAAAGATATTGTATATATTTTTATGTACTTTTAACTCATTACCTTATCAATTAATACAGATTCCTTTCTTTTTCTTCAAAGTTATCATCCTCATTCACCATCCTTAACTTAAAGTTTATGGATCTTCAATACAATTTCTGCACTTACTCTGTATGTGCATCAATTGAGTTCAATGAACAAAATGTAAAACTCGGGTTGGAGTATAAGGTTGCTGAGCTGCAGGCCAGCTGGAGTACAGATGAAGATTACATTCTGCTTGTAAAAGACTAATTACTGTTGGCACATAATAAAATATTGTTTATTAGAGATGTTAGATACATGCAATGGACCATATGCTGCTATTGGAACACTAGATACTGCTAATAGAAGTCTAGATAATGCTTGCAGATGGTTTGATTTCGCTGGCAGAACGCTGAATATTGTTGACTAAAAATATTTTTGCTTTTATAGACTATTTACTAAGAACAGGAAACGCAATATTTCTTATACAGGATTAAAAACATACAAAGGATGAGATAGTGCTAATGGAAGACTAAAATACTGCTAATAGGAATCTATAGACGGCTAAATTCCGTTGGCAGAAGACTGGATACTGCTAATTAAAGACTAGAGTACAGTTAAAGATTAAACACTACTTGCTAAACACTAGTTGTTATTGGCAAAAAATGAAATATTACTTTACAGAGGATTAAATATATGCATAGGACTAGATGCTGCTATTGGAATACTAGATATCTACTGCTAATAGAAGTTTAGATACTGCTTGCATATGATTACATCCTGTTGACTTGGTTTGGGTTGCGTTAGTTTTATGCCTTCTTCTTCCATAATCCTTTCCATCAAGTCATGCGCCAACCTCACTCTATTAACGTTGAGTTGAAAAAAATTAAATAAAATAAAAAATCTCAAAAAGAAAAAAATTGTTTATTAATCAAGTTTATTATAAGCTGGAAAATTATTAATTAATCTGCTTGTAAAAGACTAATAATGAAATATTGTTTATAGAGGGTTAGATACATGCAGAGGACCAATTGTTGCTATTGGAACACTAGATACTGCTAATGGAAGTCTGCATAATGCAGATGGTTTGATTTCGCTGGCAGAACACTGAATATTGTTGACTAAACCCTTCTTCCTTGCGTCATCAGAGGATTAGATACATATAGAGGATGAGATAGTGCTAATGAAATACTAAATACTGCTAATAGGAGTCTATAGACTGCTTTCAGATGGCTAAATTCCTTTGGCAGAAGACTCGATATTACTAATTAAAGACTAGAGTACAGCTGAAGATTAGACACTGCTTGCTAAACACTAGTTGCTGTTGGTAGAAAATGAAATATAGCTGTACAGAGGGTTAAATACATGCAGAAGACTAGATGCTGCTATTAGAATACTAGATACTTACTGCTAATAGAAGTCAGGATACTGCTTGCATATGATTACATTCTGTTAGGTTGGCTTGGGTTGGGTTAAGATCTTTCACTGCATATTATCAGTTTTATGCCTTTTTCTTCCATAATCCTTTTCATCAAGTCATGCGCCAGCCTCACTCTATTAAAGTGAAGCTGCACCATCTTCATGTCTTCATCATTTCTTCTGTTCGCCATTTTCTCAGTGAATCATAACCTCCATCTTGTCCCCTTGGCTCCTCTTACCCACCTTTTCCATCTATATTGTTCTTCATTTTATATTTATCCACATTCACATTAAAAATATCACAGTCTCTATCACAGTTTTGATCACATTTCTTATAGCCTTTGTAACTGCGCTCTGTTGACTCGCTTTTTCTTAACATTTGTGTCTTCTGCTTTTCTTCCTTATTTTAAATACTTCGCATTTACCCGTGCCTGCCATACATCTGCTTCTGTCTGATTGCAAAAGCGCTGTCTCTGGTTTTTTTTCTCTGGAGAACCCCACAACCCAACACTATCCCAAACCCAACCCCACACTATCCGGCCGCTCAAGACTGTCAGGCCGGATGTCTGATAGCAGATTTTCCCCGACCTCGTAAAAAAAGGTTAAGTTTTGTTGGGTTGTTTTCGGATGGATTGGATTGGATTGGATTGGATTGGATTGGATTGGATTGGATTGGATTGGATTGGATTGGATTGGATTGGATTAGATTGGATTGGGTTGTGTTGTATTGGTTTGGGTTGGGTTAGGTTGAGATCCTTCTGGTGAGTACTGTCTAATTAGCTGAAGACTAGAAATTACTTGCAAACGGCCAGTTATTGCTAACAGAAGTATTGTTTGCACAAGACTAGATACTGGTAGTAGAAGACGAAATATTGCTTAAAAACAAGTCGTGGCGAGAAGATTACCAATTTTAGGCGACCTCTTCTTAATTAGTCAAAAAAAAGGTGAAAGTGAAAGTCAAAAATTAGTTAATCAAAGACTACATGCTGCTTACAAAGATTAATTTCTGCTTGCAGAAAGCTAGATATTGCTTGCAGAACGTTATTTATAGCTTATAGAAATTAAATACTTTTAATGGAAAACTCAATCTTTTGGCAAAAAGATAAATTAAGTTCTGCTGCTATTTTGAATGTTGTTTTGTTTTGAAAATCAAAAAGTTTGCCAAAATCGGCGAAAGCGTAAAAACATATTGACGAATTCTCATTTTAAGAATTTTGGAAGCAGGAAAAGTAAATCTTAATGTTACTAAACTAACGTTGAAATAACAAAAGGAATAGTTTTCTTTTAAAATTTTAACGACGAAATTCAGGTAAATATTTATGCGTTAATACACGAAGTAAAATCTTTTGCCAGGAATCCCAAGGTGTCCAGAAAATGATGAAATAACGTTTGTACTACTTGGTAGTAACCAATTACCAAAAAAAACCATAAATAAATTCCACACTTTGTCATAATAATCTTGTGGTACTCCAACGATTTAAAACAAGCTTTATTTTTTTGATACTTTTGAATATTAACAGCTGATTTATCAAAAAAAGAAATAGAACAAGGCCGCGCGCCCACAAACAAATCATGTTAAACATTTGGCATCGGTTTACCAAAAAATCTTTAGTTTAGAGCGAATTAGTTTCGCTCGCAGCAATTGATTGTAAAAACTTTGAATAATCCACTAAATATAGAGTCTTTGCCTTGCCCGTTGCCGACATAGAATTTTCGAGAGCGAGGTGAACGCGTCCGACTATAAAAGCGTCGCGACGTCGAAATCCGTTCAGTTTTCAGACCGGGTCAACGTTGAAAGGTACCCCAAATAAAAGAACAATGTCTTTGGAACGTGCTGTTAAAGCTAAGGTGAATATAAAAGATTAAAAAAATGCTTTTTTTAATTTTTTGTTTTATAGATTGCTGGAAAACGCAATCCACAAGAAGACAAAGAAGCCCAAGAATGGATTGAAACCATCTTGGGGGCTAAATTCCCACCAGGTGAACTTTATGAAGATGTTATCCGTGATGGTACCATTTTGTGCCAAGTCATGAATAAGATCGTACCGGGATCAGTACCCAAGATTAACACCTCTGGTGGACAATTCAAAATGATGGAAAATATCAATAAGTAAATTTAAAAAATAATTAGATTTTTTAATATTGAAGTATTTGTTTATAGTTTCTTAGCCGCCATGACTGCTTATGGTGTACCAGCTGTTGATTTATTCCAAACTGTAGATCTTTGGGAAAAATCGAACATTTCCCAAGTCACAACAGCTCTTTTTGCTTTGGGTAGAGAAACTTACAAACACCCAGAATGGAAAGGACCATATCTTGGACCAAAACCATCTCAAGAAAACAAACGCGAATTCAGCGAGGAACAACTTAAAGCTGGTGAAACCATTATTGGTTTACAAGCTGGTCAAAATAAGGGTGCAACCCAAGCTGGACAAAACATTGGAGCCGGTCGCAAAATTTTACTCGGAAAGTAAATCATGTACTAATTTAAACCAACCCAAAATTCTATATTTTTGTATATATTTATTTTTCGTAACAATATATATTACTAAATAAACTTTAAACCATTTATTTATAAAAAAAATAAATCGAAACATCCGTTTCCTGTCAAAAAAATTTATTCGATACACACGACCCCAATTCTAAACATAATCCGCGAACTTAATGTTTTAACCTTGGAGTTTTCTCGAAACTCCCAATTTACATCACACTGGAAAATTTTCAAAATTATTTTTAAACTTATTTACAAATTTAAACCACATTTACAAATAGCGACTAGCGACATCTCGCAAAGAGTAGTTTGTATTAAAAAAAAATAAAACAGGAATCTTTTAATTTCGATTACAACGCCATCTCTATCAAACCAAATACATCAAATAAACATTGATTCAAAAATTAAAAGAAAAAATTAATAAAAATTAATTAAATAGTAATTTTATAATTAATACAAATGTATACAATTCAAAGTGGAATGCACCGATGCAAAACACCTAAAATACTATTTATAAAACAAGGAAGCACACAATTTATAAATAGGTCGTTCTAGAAATAAACATTGTTGTATCCCATCGCGAAGAAATCGTGGAATTTGAAGTGAAAATGTTACATAAGATTCATAAAACTCGTACGTTTCTTTTAATTTCACGCTGAAATGTTTATCTCGACATGAACTTTTCCGTTGACGTTTCGTGCCAAATACGACGAGAAAATTTCGAACATTTTGCAATATACCAGTTGCCCAAATTCATACCACTTTGAGTTTGCACCTGTTTTATGCAACATATCGTAGGTGTTTATACGCAAAAAAAATGCTCGTTACTATTAGAGAACTTCTAAACATAAAATTTCAACATTAAAATGATTTATTTTAAGAGAAATTGTTGGTAAATAATTCAAAAGTTTAAATTTATTTTCAGCTAAATCTTGGAGTTTTTAATTTAATTTATGCATTTGGAATGAAAGTAAATTCTTGAACAAAAAAAAATTTTGATGGACGATATGTTTAAAATCTGGTTTTGTAACGATTACCTCATATTCTTTATATAACTTTACAGGAAACTAAGCAGGAAATGATTCTATATTTAGCTATGAAAAGAGAAACGTGTGTGGAAATAATTAAATAAAATAAATTCTTAACAATTCTATGTATTTGGAGATAAGTTTGATTAAGTACATAGTATTTAATTATCAAATTTATTAATTATTCTGAGCAGTTGCTTTATTTCTGCCCGAGATATTTTGATTCTGAAAACAGTTTGAAACTACTAAATAGTCAGTAATATCATGGTAAAATGACTTTAGCTGTATAATATTTTATTTCTGCTTATGATGTTCTGCTTCAGTCCAAGAAATTTTGCTTCCCATGAAGGTATTTTGCTTCTGCACATGACATTTCATTTCTGGCCGAATCAGTTTATGATCATCTACTTCTGATTGTAATATGTCGTCAATCAAATACTTTTGCCCTTGATATTTATCATTTCTACACGTGGTATTTTGTTTCTCCCCAAGATATCTTACTATTTTGCATCTACTTCTTATTCTCTTTATCTTAGGCATCTGTTAGACTCTGGTAATTCAATCTGGTTTTGCGTCGTTGCATATCGCCAATATGGGGGATAATTATTCATTACTTTTTATACTGCTATTATTTCAATACATACCGAGGAGAAGAGAGATCCCCTTTCATGCGTTGTTGTCCTTCCTGTCTTCTTATCTCATTGGTTGCTATTCTCATGGCTTTTCGCAATCTTGGTTCTTTCGACTTTCCACTACCTGGTTTTCTTCTTCCTTCGGTTCTTCCACGAACCCAAGCAAACCCAGCCCAAACCGAGGTTGAGAAAAAGCCAGAGAGGTGTTGCACATTGAATGTGAAGCACATTGTGTTGATAATATCAAAAAAAAAGTAGTACAATTTGGCTTTTAAGGATTTAAACCCAACCCAACTCAACCCAACAAACGTTCTTCTAGTAATACGTCGCTTCTATCTTTGATAATTTACTTCTGCCCTTAATATTTCATTTCTGCCCATGATATTTTATATTCTCAAAGATATTTTGTCTCTACACATGATATTTTTTTCCCAACCCAACCCAACACTTTTTTTTGTCACAAAGGGAGGCAAAACTGTTGGCGTCTCTCCACAATGGACTGGATGGATAAAATTGCTTCTGCCGGGAGTGTGGGGCTACGAAAGCCCTTCGCTGCCCATTAAAAACTGCAGAAACTGGTAGATATCAATATACTCTTCATTCCAGTGGTCATGCTCGTACTTAATCTTTCCTGTCAGGATCATGAGTATTCATCTTCTGAGTTCGCATCGGACTCTCCCAGCACAAAATATGCACATATAAACAAACAATTCCATCAATTTTTGTAAATACGACCCCATTATTTTCCTTGTCCTCTCATCGTATACCATCCGTTCTTCTCAAGTCACCATCAAATTGAGGAATAAGAAATAAGGTAGGCTTCTTTTTCATTCTTCTTCATCCGTTCAGCCACATCATTGTCTGGAGAAGGGAGTCGAAACTACCTCTGTTCTTTTTTGATGCTGATTTAACTACCTAAACAACTTTAAAAAGTTTATCAAAACTTCAAATACTGTTTTTTCAAAAACTAAAGGTTATTTTTCAAAACGGGTTGGTTCATTGGAAAGAGGACACTTTTATTAACATTTTGGGAAATTTTCATACTCATATTCCAAGAAATCGATTTTATACGAATTATTAAAAATTAATCGGGGTAAATTGCAAAAATCGAAAAATTTTCGATTAGTTCAAAAATTTATTTCTCAAGAACTAAAAGTGATTTTTCAAATCCGCTTTTTGCATTAAAAAGAGGATACTTTAATTAATAATTGGTGATATTTCCACAAGGATAACTTAAGAAATTAAATTAATAGCAAATTTTGAAAATTATCGATGAAAATTGCAACATCGAAAATTTTATTAAAACTTCAAATATTGTTTTTTCAAAAACTAAAAGTTATTTTTCAAAACGGGTTGGTTCATTGGAAAGAGGACACTTTTATTAACACTTTGGGAAATTTTCATACTCATATTCCAAGAAATGGATTTTATACGAATTTTTAAAACTTAATCGGCGAAAATTGCAAAATTCGAAAAAATTGTCGATTATTTCAAAAATTTATTTCTCAAGAACTAAAAGTGATTTTTCAAAACGGCTTTTTGCATTAAAAAGAGGATACTTTAATTAATAATTGGTGATATTTCCACAAGGATCCTTCAAGAAATTAATTTTATAGCGAATTTTGAAAATTATCGATGAAAATTGCAACATCGAAAATTTTATCAAAACTTCAAATATTGTTTTTTCAAAAACTAAAAGTTATTTTTCAAAACGGGTTGGTTCATTGGAAAGAGGACACTTTTATTAACATTTTGGGAAAATTTCAAACTCATATTCCAAAAAATCGATTTTATACGAATAATTAAAAATTAATCGGGGAAAATTGCAAAATTCGAAAAAATTGTCGATTATTTCAAAAATTTATTTCTCAAGAACTAAAAGAGATTTTTCAAAACGGCTTTTTGCATTAAAAAGAGGATGCTTTAATTAATAATTGGTGATATTTCCACAAAGATCCCTCAATAAATTAATTTTACAGCAAATTTAGAAAGTTATCGATGAAAATTGCAACATTGAAAATTTTATCAAAACTTCAAATATTGATTTTTCAAAAACTAAAAGTTATTTTTCAAAACGTGTTGGTTTATTAGAAAGAGGACGCTTTTATTAACATTTTGGGAAATTTTCAAACTCATATTCCAAAAAATCGAATTCATACGAATTATTAAAAATTAATCGGGGAAAATTGCAAAATTCGAAAAAATTTTCGATTATTTCAAAAATTTATTTCTCAAAAACTAAAAGTGATTTTTCAAAACCGCTTTTTGCATTAAAAAGAGGATACTTTAATTACTAATTGGTGATATTTCCACAAGGATCCCTCAATAAATTAATTTTATAGCAAATTTTGAAAATTATCGATGAAAATTGCAACATCGAAAATTTTATTAAAACTTCAAATATTGTTTTTTCAAAAACTAAAAGTTATTTTTCAAAACTGGTTGGTTCACTGGAAAGAGGACACTTTTATTAACACATTGGGAAATTTTCATAGTCATATTCCAAGAAATGGATATTATACGAATTTTTAAAATTTAATCGGGGAAAATTGCAAAATTCGATAAAATTGTCGATCATTTCAAAAATTTATTTCTCAAGAACTAAAAGAGATTTTTCAAAACCGCTTTTTGCATTAAAAAGAGGATACTTTAATTAATAATTGGTGATATTTCCACAAGGATAACTTAAGAAATTAATTTTATAGCAAATTTTGAAAGTTATCGATCAAAATTGCAACATCGAAAATTTTATCAAAACTTCAAATATTGTTTTTTCAAAAAGTAAAAGTTATTTTTCAAAACGTGTTGGTTTATTAGAAAGAGGACACTTTTATTAACATTTTGGGAAATGTTCAAACTCATATTCTAAAAAATCGATTTTATACGAATTATTAAAAATTAATCGGCGAAAATTCGATTATTTCAAAAATTTATTTCTCAAGAACTAAAAGTGATTTTTCAAAACCGCTTCTTGCATTAAAAAGAGGATACTTTAATTGATAATCGAATGTAATAACAGCGATAATTCTGTTAGTAATGAATGTGATGATGAATTACAAGCGAAGAGAAGGAAACTAGACGAAACTGCAACAAGAGATTTTTATTTTATATATCGTATTGGGATTGTTACAATGAGGTTGCTAATGATAAATAAAGTTGTATTCAATGAGAAAAGTGCTATTGGGGTTGAACTTAGTTAACAAAGCCTGATAGTTGCCGGATATCCGTTTCACCACTAGTTCTCAGTATTTGCACTTGATGTCTTTATACTCTGCACATCTTCTTCCGCTTTCCGGTGTTTGGAATGCTGCTTTGCTTGAACATCGTGTAGGCATCCAACCCAACCCAACCCAACTCAATCCAACCAAAACGTTCTTTTAGTAATACGTTACTTCAATCTTTAATAATTTACTTCTGCCCTTAATATTTTGTTTCTGTCCATGGTATTTTGCTTCTCCCATAGATATTTTGCTCTTGCACAAGATATTTTGTTTCTGCCCGTAGTATTTTGATTTTCCCTAAGATATTTTGCTCCTGCACATGATATTTTATTTTTGGCCAGATCATCTCTTTGTAATATGTTGCTGCTATCTTTGATAAGTTGCTTTTGACCTTGAAATTTTGTTTCTGCCTAAGATATTTTGCACATGAGATTTTCAGCACGTTTTGTTCTACCCAAAACAGTTTTTTCAAATTAAATGAATTTTCAAAACTGCTTATCAAGGATCAAGGACAGTTTTAATTGTGAAGAAAAAGCTTGCTATAATAAATTTTTTAAATTATTTTAAAAAGATAGAATCTAAACTTATTTAAAATATGATGAGCAGCTGAAATTTTGGTGTTTACGAAAACGAGTCCTCTTTAAAAGCTGCGTGTATATTTTAAAACATTAAAAGATAAACTAAAGTCTATTTGTGGTGCTCCGAGCACTTATTTGCGTATCCATTAAATTTTTTCTGGCGAAGAGTTTAATTAAAAGAAGTTGTAATTTTGGGTTTATTTTTAGTGGTGGAAATTTCCCAAAATGTTTTCTATAACTTATAAACTAAATGCGTTTTTTAGATATTTTTGGAGAATAAAAGAGGTTGTTGAACTAATAATTTCTTTTCGAAAAATTGCTTTATTTTAATCCTTGGATATCTATAAATTTAGAAAAACAAAATTGTGGTAATAAACAAGATTATAAATAAAATTATCTAATGACATTGAAACATAAAAATAAACACTTTAAAATAATGCGATGACTAAATTACTTGTCTGGTTTATTTATAAAAATGAAAATTGTTTTTATTTCGGTTTTATTTTCGTGACCAAATAAGGTATACTTTATTTATACAAAAAGGGTTTCGTCACATAAACGAGAAGATAAAAATGTTTGTAGGCGTTTTTGGAGTGTAAGTAAATTTGTGGTTAAAATTTTCGAAATCAGCTCAAACTGAGTCAACGTTTAGAGTTAGTCTAAGTCAGAGGTTAAAAATAAAACCGCCCGAGTGGTTTGGATCGCACCTTGGAAACGTGTTGGCCGTTTTTCCACGTAGGTGAAACGAATTTTCGGTAGCCTTCCAGGTTTTTCTCGCCGAGTCCCCATCCGAAAATACAATAAGTTATGGCTCGGTTGAAAATAAATTTTGATTTATCGGCTCGTGGGCGGGTGAACTGTGCGTAAATATTTTATGCACTTATCGGAGTTCGTTTTGATTTAACTCCACGAAATACGAAATTCGCGGTTTGGTTTTCTCTTCGGGTGCTCAAAGTCTTTTTGGAAAAACGAGCACCAGGTGTTTCAATTCCGATTATATTTAAACGTACAGGATGTGTGCCAAATAACCTTAATTATTTCGAAATTATTCAACTTTTTATTTATAATTATAAATTTTATTATAAACACTTATTAGTGGAATATGATTGACACTTAAGTTATTTTTAAAAACTTTTTTTTGGGAAAATGATTTGGTCGATTTTCAATTGCAACAGTGCCAAGTACTCATTAAAATATTGCAAAATAAAATTTTAAATTGTAAATAAACTAAATCAAATTTTTTGTTTTATTAATAAGAAATTAAGTTTTTGGCAACATCCCAAAGTAAAGAAACTAAATATCTTTCTAAACAACTTTTTAATAAAATAACAATCACAATTTACTAAAAATTGGGTTAATTTTAATGATAACATTTCTAAATTTAATTTTTTGGCACCGTCCAAAAATTGTCCTAGTCATACGATTAATTTGCACGATCAAAAGATTTTACGACGACTATTAACCAAAAGATTTAGCTTTTCGATTCTCGATGGGTAATGTTTTTAACTTTGTATTTAACGGTGTTTTTTAACGATAGTTTTAGTCATCGGCTGGTGATTTTCGTCGCGGCATTTGTTGTCACGCCCACATTGCCACACTTTGGCCCGCCGAAGCTAAAGGATTTGATGGTAAAAAAAAAACTCGCGCTTGCTTTCGCGTTGCTGATGAATCACGATGTTTTAGTGGTCTACGCGTGCTCTAGATTCGGATAGGTTCGCATCTCGCGTCGGATTCTATTTTTAACACCCTGTTTCCAATTGATCGTTAAAGAATGGGTGGAGAGAAATTTTTGGCGAAAGAAAACTTTTCTTTTTTATGAGAATTTTAACTTGTAAAAGTTACTTAACCACTCAATTATTATAATATATAAATTCTTCAGAGTTGGATTGGAAGATAATTAATAAGGAATTCAACGTATTATTACAAGTTATACATGATTTATCTGTAGGAATGATCGCTGGATATGTCATTACACCGGGTGTTTCATTTAAAATGACATACAGAGTGTCATCATTGCAAATATGCAACCAACATGACAATACAATACGCATCATATGCAAATCGCGTATTGCAATACCAATACCGTGACATTGGTAGCATACTAATTAAAAAATTTTATTAACG